ACACCACACAACAGTACAAACCCAGAAGAGCAGTGTGAGCCAGACGACAGACCTTGATCTAAAGCCCTGCACTCTGCACTGATAACACTCAGGCTTCCCCTTTAATGTCCCCAGCACAGAGAGATGCACCAGGCCCCCTAGTAAACGGAATGCCCCTGCTCGCTTGTAAAAGTAGGGTCCCTGGAAGACAGAGAGAGAGAGAGAGAGAGAGAGAGAGAGAGAGAGAGAGAGGGAGAGAGAGGGGGATGGGTAGGATCAGGAACGAAAGGGAAGGAGGAAAATCACACATCCAGGAATTAACTCCCTCTATCCATTGCCTGGATCAATCCCCTCTGCAATTCCCAATCCGCCCCCATCTCTCTTAAACTCATACCCAATTCCAATCATGGCCACAGTAAAGCTCTCTTGTAAAATACCACAATGCGACCTCAGACTTCAGTAAATTAGATGCCGGTTGGACCCCTTTGCTTTGAAATACAGCGCAGGTCTGCCTGGAGCAGCATTAAAACTGAGGTCAGCCCAGCCACTGCACACAAGAGATATTCCTCCTGCCATAACGGTGTGTTTGTGCGGAGGTATGTTTGCAAACCTCATTTAAAGGAGCCGAATGAGAGGCTAAAGCCTGCCAGTTTGGCATCGGCTTTGTGCATGTTTGTCAGTGGGTCTGTGCGTGCGGGTCCCTGGTGAGGGTGTACCCAGTATGCGTCAACGTGCTGCTTGGGCCAGGCATGGCCACCGATCAGATGGATGATCAAACTCTAATCATTCCCTCCCGACCCATCCCGGGTAAAGCTGTCATTAATTTTGCGGAATTACATCAAATTGGAGACATTCTTTATGCGGCCCACGGCCTACAGACAGTTATACGATGGGGACTGCTGTGCTAAGCAGATGGGGCAGCTTGGCCGTGCATACTAAATACTGCTGCCCCCCTTCATGTTTCTCTCTGGCACATCAGCTCTCTCTCTCTCTCTCTCCGTCCCTTCATCTCTGTCACTTACGTACTTCCCTCTCTCTTTGTCTTTTACCCTTCTGGGTTACTTTAAGATTGACTTTAAGATTGACTTTAAGATTTTACTTTACCTCTCTTCTCCCTGCCCTTCTATAATTCACTTTAGATACCATTTTTTCTTTGTTTTTCATCAGAAGTATCCACATGCTCTCTTTCCAACAGGAAGGACTATATGTTCAGGGTGTGGTGGGTGTTTGTTACTGACGTTTACACCTACCCTCCCAAGAAAAATGGCCCGCCCCAGAAAGCCCGTTGTCAGCTCACTCATGTTGCAACCAAATGCAAGCTACTGCATGTCATCTGCCTTCACTGCACTCATTCAGATGCTGTAATCTGTCACACAAGATTTATATTTTGTCATGCATGGCTATTTTTCAACCAATAAAGGAATTTTTAAAGGAGAACAGTACACCATTATAACATTAGTCATCCAAAATTATTGTTGTATCAAAGTCATTTTTGCAAAAATAAATAATTAAGTTCTGTCAAATCGATTAATCACATCTAACATAAAAGTTTTTGTTCATATAATATGTGCGTGTATATATATATTATTATATTTATATATATTTTATATATCTCTGTGTGTGTGTGTGTATATATATACAGACATGCGCGCACGCACACACACAAATATATCATAATAATATATATACACGCATTTATTGTATAAACAAAAACTTTTATGTTAGATGTGATTAATTGATTTGACAGCACTAAAATAAATCTTTCTAAAATTTGGGGTATGTGAGATTAGAGTTTAAAATGTTCTTAAATGTAAAAGTCTCTTATCTGATGAAAAATACAGTAAAAACAGTAATATTGTGAAATATTCTTACAATTTAAAATTTGTAGAAATTCAGTTACTCCAGTCTTTAGTGTCACATGATCCTTCAGAAATCATTATAATATGCTTGAATGTTGCATTAAACATTTATTGTTATCAAAGTTGAAAACAGGTGTGCTTAATATTTTTGTGTGGAACTGTGACACATTTTTTCAGGATTCTTTGATGAACGGAACCAAATGATTATTATTATAATGGAATTGCACTGTAAGCATCATAAAGTTACGATAAATTCTGTTCGCTTCTCTGATTGAGTACACCGAACATATTCACTGACTTGCCAGCTGATTGTAGCCTACCTATCAAAACATGGTAGATTAATGTTAATACAGGTTACAAAGGTCTGATTTGTAGAAAACAATTTGAATTACCACAAAAACTCAATAGTCGTCATTCTTCAGGTTTTGCCGTCTATAAAACAAGCATGAAGAATCCCTGACCAGGTTAGTAATGAGATGATAAAATGACTGGCCAACATAAGTCTGGCCTGCACCAGATCTTCTCATTGATCTCCTCAGAAACACTTGACATGGAGCGCCTGGGAGGAGGAGCGAGGTTAGGAGTGTCATGGGCCTGAGGGAGACTCGTCGTCAAGCAAGGTCGGTAACACACTGTCTGTGTGCCATCAATCACACGCCTCTGCCCTTCCCCCCTTCCTGCCTGCCTCTCACGCAGCCTTCCACGCATTTCAGCCAAGCTCACTCTGTTAAAACAATCTCAGCACCTTTATTGGGCTGCCTCATTTACTGCCTGCATGCAATTACAGGCTGAGGGTGGCCATCTTGTTTGCAGTGCATGGCTACGACTACCTTCCTTGCAGGGCAAACTGGTTCTAATGCCATTATACATGCAGAAGCAAAGCGACAGTGCAAACTTTATTTCGTTTTCTAACACTTTCGAACAAATGTGAGGTCCAAAAAAGGGGAAAAACAGTATGGTACAATAGAATATACAGAAATAGATGGAAACGTGATACGTGAGATATTAACAAATTAAAATACATTTACAAAAACACAAAACAGCGCACAAGCCAGTATGAAGTGATCATATTCCCCAGGTGGTTTAATAGGCTTCCACATTTTTTTTTTTAAATCAATCAATCATTGTTTGTAATAAATTGTTTTGTCTTCTCTCTATATGTATAATGTTCACCAGCTCACTTAACCACACATCAAATGTTGAAACCACGTCCAGTTTCCACCTCTGAAGAAACAATCTCTTTGCAAGAACTATAAATAAGGAGATAGAATGGCGTTCTAGGAGGGTTCTGAAATAACCCCTAAAATGCAATTGTGTCTGGAACAATCTCCTTTTTCAGTCAAAATGATCTGTCCAGTGCCTGTGAAGTTTACAGCATGTCCATTCAAGGTGATGTTTTATCAGTGGTTAAATCATTTGATAATTTTGAAGCTGATTTAGAGGACTCCAAAATGTGCAGGCAGTGCAATGGACAGTGTGTAAAGATATTAAAATATTGAAATATTCACTTAAGCCCTAAATCCTTACCATCAAAGGCATGTGAGTCACCACTTCATTTAGAATGTATCACTTTGACTTGTGACCTCCTAATATCACCATGAGACCAGCTCAGTATCTATGTGTTGTATGTGCCAAATTCCTCAAGAAACTTCTTCTGCAATATATAATTATTCATGCATTTAATAATGCCTCGAATATGAAAGATAACATGCCTGGCTGATCCAAGATATTACTCAGGCTATATAGAAAAATAAAGTGAGTTTTACTTGTGTATCAGTGTCTTTACAATTTACATCTGAAAGATAGTGACGTTACAAAACTCTATTTGAAAATGTATGAGCATTCACTTTATAGTGTCAATACAGAAATGTATTTTAAAAAAAAGAAAATTATATGTTTATAAATAGTAATATATGTAAAGAAAAATCTTAGAGGACAATGCACAGCTACACTGCAGCTCTTTCAAGTTTCCTAAAAGTACACTGCCATCTTGTGTTCAAAACGAGAACATCAAACAACTAATGTTTTGGAAAAGAGGTGTCTCTTCGGTTCTTTAAAATGCTAAATATGTAACTCCATTAACTATTCATTAAATATATAATACATTTATTTCACCTCTTTATTACACAAACTGAGCTACCAGTTAGCCTTAGTGTGAGAGACAAATTATTGTAGGAATCATTGAAAAATGATAGGCATTTAGCATCTGCTTTTCAGCTTCATGGCAAAGCATTCTAGTTTCAAGTTTCTGTGAGTCGGCAAATGAAGAGTGCTGTTTACTCCAGCTGAATGTGTGTCGGCCTACTGAGACTCCAGGAATCAAAGCAGATCATAACCCTGAAAAGCCATTGCAGGCATCAGACAAGCATGTGAGTGATAGCCTGTATGTCCCACGCAGGTGCTTTATATTGTGTATGCGAATATTATGATATTATATAACATGTCTCTTGGAAACCAGACACATTCGAATCGCTCTTCTGAACCGGATCTTTTTAACGGACCGAACATTTTGTTCGAAACGAACAAACAGGTCGAGTGATTCTCGAGTCAACCGACTCACTGAACCAAGAGCTGTCTCTTTCTGACATGTCAATGTTGTAGCAAACCAAGAACCCACGAGTGAGCTCAGCTGACAGTGTGCGCATTTTAAGTTTGCCAAAGATTTGACTGATGGGGCGATATATTATTACTAGAGTAGCATATTTGTAAAATTATTACAAATAGAACATACAGCGAATATGTTGAATTGATTGTATGACACTACAAATACATGCCAGAGTTTGTTCCAAAGAATATCACTTAGTTATGAGACGTAAATGAATGAATCACTGAATCGATGTTTCGAACTGTTCGAAAGAGCCTATTCGCGGAAATGAGTCAGACTAGTTCTTTTCGCAATCGTGTTGCTTTTCACCATGCGTGTTTAACGAACACGTATCGCATTGGCCAAGAGTTGATTGACATACACATTTAACCAATAGAAACTAAGACGGAGAATCCGATGAGAAATGTGAACCAATCAGAGCTTCAATCGCTGTACCGTTACCATGACGTTTGACTTCTCACATCGACCTTCAAAGCATTCTCATTACAGATGGGGATTTTAGTTTTTTTGAGTGTCTGAGACATGATTCAGAATCAGTGATAGAACTTCATTTCCCACAATGCAGCGTGCCTCTCCAAAGCACCCATGCTTCTGTTTTTGTTATTGTTGTGAGATGTTCGTGGCACAGCTCATCTCGGCGAATGTGTCGGTGTAAATTACACTTGTCATCAGTCTCATACATGTTTTCTCCTATATGACCGAACATCGTTTTTCAAGAGGACATTGTTCTGATTATCTAATCTAAATTGGGTGAGTTTTGTTATACGACGTTTGCGGTTTTTCCACAAAGGAAAAAAAGAGAAAAAAAACTGCAGCATGTTCAGTAGCACGCAGCTAAAGACAAAGCATGCCATGTTTATAACATCTAATCCCATTTGAGGCAGTCCCATGGAATGTGTATTGACGATAACAATGTTATAAGGCTGTCATGTTTTTCTTTTTAACTGCTGTAACAAAGTGTCAGATCTGCTTATGCATTGTTTTTCTTCTTGTTGTCATGCTGTACCGAGTAACTTGAGATAGTTTCTAACTTTGGGCCTCGCTTGCAATAGCCATCCACGATTGTTTGCAATGCAAAGAAAGAGTTTATTTTCGTAAGTCAGCAATTATTATGCCACAACAATCAGGTGTCACGTGTCAAGTAATATTAAAAGTACATTAAAATAAATGTTGTGTTTATCTAGTGTGTTTAAAAAAAAAACTAATTTCACCATCTATTTTATTTTAAACGACTCAAATGTTGAGGAATCAAATTATCCTTGGTATTTATTTTAAGATAAAGCTTGATACTGAGCACTGGAGTTAAGCTGCAAGTTTCTGACATCAGACAGATGACGTCAGAAAACGTCCTTGGTCTGTTCATGGAGAGTCTAAATATGGAGTTTGTAGTTTATTATAAGGTGCTGCTAATGATGGGCCCACCTGTCATTACTTGTAATCTATACAGTTCACACAGTCAGTCACAGCATTTGTGGCACCTGACAGCCTGTCACAAATGCTCTCTAAGAGCTGATGTGTGTCCGGGGTGAGAGAGTGCACTCCTCATCAGTCATCCGCAGGAACTCGGCATCTAGTTTAACATAAACAGTACCTCTTCACTTGCGCAACACATTCACCTCTCCCCTACTGTCCTCAGTAAGCCACATTAATAATATCCATACAATTTTCTGTGGACTAATTAAATCCTGTTTAAAATTCCTTTTAAAGTTATGTATATTTGTGAATTTGGATAGAGACAGAAAAGGCATACAGATAGAGATGACTACACATATAGATAGCATATTTAAGACAAAACAAGTCCTGTATTGCCTTTTACCTCAGCCGCACTTCTTCAAAGCACATAAGTAACATGTCTTTGAACTTTTTCTTAACATCAGGATTTTAGGAAAAAATTTAACATATTGTATTTTGTATGTATTATGTATTTTACTAAGTATGTATTACATTTTTTGGAAAACCATTTTTAGTAACTTTGTTGCAGTTCATTGGCCTTTTTTTGTTGTAAAATGAATATTTCATGTAATGACGCCATAAAACTGCATGCATATTATTTGAGAATGAGAAAAATAGTTTTAGACTAAATATTTCCATTTTTATTTTTAATAACTACCTAGGTGCATCACTATTCTGTTGACATGGAGAAGACATGCGGGGTGGAGTTTCGCAATGTCGGAAGTTGCTACTTCCCTCAGAGCAGAGTGGACTGCCACTACACCATCAACTCACAGCACACATGGGCCAGTAATGACTGGATTGGACTATTTAAAGTAAGAGAGAGCCATCTCCAGGACTTTTCAGCACTGATGTGGCTCTTTTGCTTTATTAAAGTTGATCTGTTTTCTTTTACCCCCAGGTTGGCTGGTCATCAATCAAGGACTACCATACGTTTGTGTGGGCAGTAGCACCATCCAACTACAAAGAGGGGACCTCCGTGAACTGCTGCGTTAATTTCCAAGGTTTCTGAAGCATTGATTTTGGTGTTCAAGCCCTCTTGAAAGTCAGCTGATGGTCTTAATACAGTATGAATAAAGAATAGTGTGCTTTAGGGACATTTAAAGAAGCTAATTACAGTTTCTTGCATTGATTCACCCAACTGCTGGGCTAATGCATTCAGTACATTAGCAAATGTTTGTCCTCAGATGACCTGTGAAAGAGATAAAATGCCACAAAGGATTTCGCCTGTTGTTAATTATTAGTAGGGAGGGGTATAGGATGCTCCCAAATTACCCTAGATTGATTTGCTTCTCTACAATTTTTTTAAACAATAAACCTAAAATCCTCGTTTTGGCAATGCTTTAAAAAGAATGAATTTAGAGATGCAATTTATTTTTAAAAGGTTTTGTTATGGTGTGCTGTAGCGTGCATTATCACACATATAGCACAGCTATTATTCTCTAAATTGTTGTGTATCGTGTGTGAAGAAACATGTTCCCCCTAAGAAACATGTCTGATCAGTGTCTAGTGGGCCCTATTTATTCAGGGCTTCCTTATAACCAAGTGGTTAATTCATCTTTGAGACAACCTAATGACTAGCTTATTTCTGAAAAGCACATCCGTAGTAATTAAACTGCAGGGTGTGGGCGCGCTATATATTGCTCTTTTAAAGTAACATGCACTACCATTCAGAAGTTTTTTTAAAGTCTTTTATGCTAACAAAGGCTGCATTATTCATTTAAAAATAAAGTAAAACCAATAATATTGTGAAATATTACAATTTAAAATAAATGCTTTGCATTTTAATATATTTTAAAGTGCAATTTAATTCTGCTTTGGTGCTACATTGCTGATCATAATGTTGAAAACATCTGCTTATTTAAACCCGTGATTTTTTTTCAGGACTCTTTGATGAATGGTATTTTCAAAAGAACATCTCTTATTTTAAATAGAAATCTTTTGTAACATTGTAAATATCTATGCTGTCACTTTTTATCAATTTAATGTATCCTCGCTGAATAAAAGTATTAATTTCTTTTACAAAAAAAACTTTCTGACCCCAAAACTGTGAACAGTGTTAGACCGAGTTTTTGCAAGCGCATGTGAAAGTATCATCTGGGCTGAGATTTGCACAGTGCAGAATGGCAGCATTGTATTTTGTGGTGAATATTGGTGATGGAGACAGAGTGCGTTTAGGAGAAGCCAGATGAGGTCATCACCAGTGGCCCTGGCTTCATGTGATTGTGTAGGAAATCTCCAAACTTCTGTCACTATGAATAACCAGACAGGAAATATTCAAATACAATTTGCCTATATTAAAAATCTGAGACCACACGACAATTGTTTTGTTTATAGTTTTTTTGGCCTGTGTTTGGCCTTTCACAGCATCCTTTTTCTCTCCCCTCTTCAGCGTCCTACCTACCAGGGCCTAGTACTCAGCAGTACCAGTTTGTGTATGTGGATGGAAGGGGAGAGGCTTGTTCTCGCAGCACTGCCTTTACCTTCTCAGCCCCAAAGCCCATGGAGGAGCTGATGACTCTGGAGGAGGAGGGCCAAGGAGAGGAAGTGGGCGAAGACATGTTGCTGGTCATCCCCAGAGCCCAGCTACTGCAGGTCAGATGAACTCACAGAATATGTGAAGACTGTAATTCAGTCCATCATTACACAAATGATATGTTTCAACGTAAGACAATGCCAGATCCTAGTATAGGCAGTTCCCTAGGGCTGTAGCATTCTCTCCGTATGCATGATAAGGGATAATCCACGGCTAGCTGTGCTAGCGATTTTAATGCATGATGTGGAGGAAAAGAACCACACAACACATGCATTTCTTCAGAGTGCATTCCAATTGTTTAATGCACAGCTAGCCATGGATTATCCTGCTTATACCATGGCCATTTGCCAACATTAACAAGTTATTGATGTTTGCAGCACAATATTTGACCAGAAAGGTAAAAATAATGGATAATTTGGTCAGTTACGGCTCATTAGATCTAGCATTCTGCCCACTTTAAATCAGACATGGAGATAAAGCAGTGCAGTAAGATTACATTAGCATGTATTTGAATTAATTATCAAGACAGAGAGAGATGCACGTGTGAATTGCCTGTGTCTGTGCAGCATCCTTCTACTAATAATGAAGCTGTGCATTTGGTGTTACTCCCTTGTTGCTGAGAAATGATTCAGCGGCAAGGCTATTTTATCAATAAAATGGCGCTTTTCCACTGCATGGAACGGTACGGTTCGGTACGGCATGCTTTGGCGCTTTTCCACTGCATGGTACAGTACGGCTCGGTTCGGTACGGCTCACTTATGGCGCATTTCCACTGCATGGTACGGTACGGTACGGCTCGCTTCGGCTCGCTTTAAATGGTACCTGGTCTGTTGAGGTTCCAAGCGTACCGTACCGATACTAAAATGTGACGTGAAAACACTACAGATCACTGATTGGTCAGACAGACAGAATCGTCACTATCAGCGTCATTGTATTTGCGACACGAGACACTAAACCCCCTAGATTTAAATAGCCAGTAGACAACAGCCACCGCTGTAGCACCTGTTTTAAAACTACTTGCTTGACTTGCTTGAAGAAAAAAGAAAGAAAGAAAACTTCCATAAAAAAGAAATGGCTGAATCGTGGTCAGTGGACGAAGTGCAGACGTTCGTCTCGTTGGTTGCCGAGGAGCGGATAAACTACGGTCCGACTATAATCCCACCCACTTTGAAGCGGTACTATCTGCAGTGGAAAAGCAAACCGAGCTAAAGCGTGCCGCGCCGAGTCGTACCAAGCAGTGGAAAAGCGAAGCGAGCCGAACCGTGCCGCGCCGCGCGAACCGTACTGAGCCGTACCAGCAGTGGAAAAGCGCCAAAAGTCACAGGGCAGCATTGATAAGTTTCTGTGCTCCTGAATGTTTGTGTGTGTGTGTGTGCACTTAAAGGTGCCCTAGAATGTTTTTTTTATTTTATTTATAATGTTTCCTGGGTTACCCTTATAATGTTAGTATGTTTTTTAGATAAAAAATAATCATAATTTAGAAATAAATGGCATTTTTCCTAGCCTGCTTTTAGCCTCTGATTTGAACACTCTGTTTGAAGGGGCGTGTCTGCTGTGGGATTCAGTGTAACCGCGGCCACTGCTGTGATTGGCTGACATGCTTGCATATGAAATAGCAACGCATTACATGTGAAACTCTCTCCCGAATACTTTTACTACTGCTATTATTCGTTTTACTATAACAGCTATCGAGATTAACGAATCGTGAGATGTTTTTAAAGTATTTAGATCTATTCCCATCACATAAAATGTTGCCGTGATGAGCATTGAGCAGATGACAGTGTGTTGATCGCGAGAATGAAGATCTTATCATTGCAAAGCAGTTTCTGCACTTTCTCTGCTTTCACCAATGCAAACACGATGATGTAAATACAGTAAGAGCTTCGTTGTGCAGTAACGTGCGTCATTGATTTCATAACGAGTTTGGCAAGTGTCCAGATAAACTCGCGCTGTGTGGAAAGATTGTTCTTTGATCGCTTTCTGTATATAATTTGTTCACAATTTAAATACGATTATTTTCATCCTACTAAAAGAAACGATGTGAAGCTGATATTTTAGTCACTGGCTTGACTTACTGATGCATAAACAGTATTGAACGATTTTGAGAGAAAGATTACCTGTCTGAACTTGAACAATTACACATCAGAAAGTGTTGCTTGGTAGCTCGATCCGAGGCCAGCTCTGTATTGGCCCAAGTTGAGGAAACAGTCGGTGAAATGTTTGGGAATTTCCAGAGAAAATAAAATTAACCCATTGTTTCTTCAGAGGCTCAGATGAAGGAACTAAAAAATACTTTTGTGTTCATGTGTACATCCACACTGAGCAACTGCCATGCTTCGGCTGCGCAGTTCCGCCTGGCATTGAGGGCTGGCATTATGCAAATATTTGGAGGCGTACATATTAATGATCCCGACTATTGCGTCACAGTCGGTATTGTGTGGAGAACCGACCGTTTTTCAGGGGTGTTTTTCATAAACGTGAATTAAATGAGAACGCGAAAACAGTCCAGTTTGAGATTCACTCTATGTCATGTCCATGCACTGAACTCTTGTTATTTGACTATACCAAGGTAAATTCAATTTTGAATTATAGGTCACCTTTAAATGAAAGCAATGCATTAATATAGAATGTTGATAAAACTGATTGGAACTACCTGTGCATTAAACGATTTGAATGCATACCTTGCAGTCAATCATATATATATATGTGTGTATATATAGATAGTTAAATTAAACAGTATATCATATATCATAAATAAATATGTAAAACAAACAATATTGGTAATCTGGTACAAGTGTGTGATTGTAAGCATGAAGCCTAAATGATAATGGTCTCAAGTTTTGATCACAGTGAAAAAAGGCTTTTTAAATTAAAGGTGCCCTAGAATGTTTTTTTTTTATTATTTTATAATGTTTCCTGGGTTACCCTTATAATGTTAGTATGTTTTTTAGATAAAAAATAATCATAATTTAGAAATAAATGGCATTTTTCCTAGCCTGCTTTTAGCCTCTGATTTGAACACTTTGTTTGAAGGGGCGTGTCTGCTGTGGGATTCAGTGTAACCGCGGCCACTGCTGTGATTGGCTGACATGCTTGCATATGAAATAGCAACGCATTACATGTGAAACTCTCTCCCGAATACTTTTACTACTGCTATTATACGTTTTTACTATAACAGCTCTCGAGATTAACGAATCGTGAGATGTTTTTAAAGTATTTAGATCTATTCCCATCACATAAAATGTTGCCGTGATGAGCATTGAGCAGATGACAGTGTGTTGATCGCGAGAATGAAGATCTTATCATTGCAAAGCAGTTTCTGCACTTTCTCTGCTTTCACCAATGCAAACACGATGATGTAAATACAGTAAGAGCTTCGTTGTTCAGTAACGTGCGTCATTGATTTCATAACGAGTTTGGCAAGTGTCCAGATAAACTCGCGCTGTGTGGAAAGATTGTTCTTTGATCCCTTTCTGTATATAATTTGTTCACAATTTAAATACGATTATTTTCATCCTACTAAAAGAAACGATGTGAAGCTGATATTTTAGTCACTGGCTTGACTTACTGATGCATAAACAGTATTGAACGATTTTGAGAGAAAGATTACCTGTCTGAACTTGAACAATTACACATCAGAAATTGTTGCTTGGTAGCTCGATCCGAGGCCAGCTCTGTATTGGCCCAAGTTGAGGAAACAGTCGGTGAAATGTTTGGGAATTTCCAGAGAAAATAAAATTAACCCATTGTTTCTTCAGAGGCTCAGATGAAGGAACTAAAAAATACTTTTGTGTTCATGTGTACATCCACACTGAGCAACTGCCATGCTTCGGCTGCGCAGTTCCGCCTGGCATTGAGGGCTGGCATTATGCAAATATTTGGAGGCGTACATATTAATGATCCCGACTATTGCGTCACAGTCGGTATTGTGTGGAGAACCGACCGTTTTTCAGGGGTGTTTTTCATAAACGTGAATTAAATGAGAACGCGAAAACAGTCCAGTTTGAGATTTACTCTATGTCATGTCCATGCACTGAACTCTTGTTATTTGACTATACCAAGGTAAATTCAATTTTGAATTATAGGTCACCTTTAATACACCATTTTGCCGTATTTTTTATTAACTTCCAGGTTATAATATATTTCTTCTTTTTTTTTAGCTAAACTACAGTATGTAGTACTACAATAAAAGGGATTTCTCATACTTTTGGACAGCTCTGAGATGCACTGTTGTTTGTCCAAGAAAGGGTAAAATAGAATAGATGTCCCAGTGTATTGATACTTTAATCCATAGAAGACTACAGACCTCAGACAGAGAGTCTCCTTTTAACATTTCCACAATGTGCAGTTTTGTTGTGTGGTTTGAGAATCACATGAACAGCTTAGAGCTTTCCAACCAAGTCAGTAATGCTGTTTTGTTACTGATATCGCATATGTGATTCAAGAAGTCATTTGAGATAATTAATTAAATTATATAAATTTAACAATAAACTTTAGGACTATGCAAAAATACCGATACAGCTAACTATCATGATAATTTTTTTCACGATAGTGTATCGATATTCCAACCTCTACTATCGATACTTAAAAAAATGTTTTAAACGGGTTTAAAATGACGTCAACATGTCATCAAATCCCTCTGTGTGTCAAACGACCTGCTCAGTTCCTGTAGATCGCCGATTCGAAATCTACAAAGCTAACAGTGGGAAGTGGGAGCAAGCATGGCGGAAAATATGAGCGCCTCCAGCTTGCTGAGCCGACGTGTGGGTGCACTTTGGTGTGCGATATCACGATTTTTGATCATGGACGATTAAAATGTCTAAGAAGCTTATGGAGGAGTGATCCAGCTCTCAGATTTAATCAAAAATATCTTAATTTGTGTTCCGAAGATGAACGAAAGTCTTACGGGGTTGGAACAACATGAGGGTGAGTAATTACTGACAGAATTTTCATTTTGGGGTGAACTAACCCTTTAAAGTGATAGTGCAACCAAAAATGAAAATTCTGTTATTTACCCTCTAATGTTGTTCCAAACCTGTATTAATTTATTTTCTTGTGCTAAACACAAAAGAAGATATTTTGAAGAATTCCCCATTGACTTCCATAGTATGAAAATATATTCTATGGAAGTCACAGGGGACTGCAACTGTTTGGATACACATTCATCAAAATAAATGTATTTTTCAGCCCGAACCCCGCCCACAACATTTTTTGGTCGGGAAGTTCGTTCTGGACTCAATACATTGAGGAGTAATTATGATCGGTTCAGAAATTGCCGGGCCAATCAAATTGCCAGGGCGGGATTTATACGATGATGGACAGATGATCTGCAGTTATCATCACGTTATCAAAGAACGCTTGGGTTGAACTGGTTTCCCTCAAAGTTGACTGCAGCTGGAGAATTGAGATGTATAGATTCCGCGATCGCGTCTGTTGTAAAAGAACTCGACAGCCCGTTAATTTTAAAAGACGAACAGAGAACTCCAATCAAGGCATTTGTCGATCGGAAAGATGTTTGCCGTCCTCCCTACGGGATTCGGCAAAAGTTTAATTTATCAGCTGGCTCCGATGGTCGCTAAGAAGATGGGACGCAATGAAAACCCTGTGGTCGTTGTGGTTTCTCCTTTGGTCGCACTCATGGAGGACCAAGTTAAAGAAAAAAACACTCATTATTTTACTACTTCTTCCAGCGTGCGTGCAGTTGAGTTCTGTTGACAACTATGCGTAGCTCAACATACGTCACTTACTTCGTTGCTCTGATTGGTTGTAGGTCTATCCAATTGAGTGCAGAGTTTTTTTCTCTCCTGGTTTGGTTAAGACACGCCTCATAATCATAGCCCTATGGAGCAGTATCAGACTCACATTCTGACTAGAATATGAGTATGACGAAGTCAGGCTAGTTCAGTGGCACTGCAATTCATATAGATTTGCTAATAAATTGGAATGGAAGTTTTTATTTTTCTGTGGAGTTATCAATATAATGTGATACACATACCACACAGCAAGTTGTATTTTGAACTATTATTTTTTACATTTAAAAAAAAAAATGTATTGCAATATGTATCGTATCTCAATATATGGTGATATATCGTAGCGTGACACATGTATTGAATCGTGAGGCCCTTGCCGAAACCCAGCCCAAATAATTACATTAAATGATTTATTATATAATTTGTTTGATTTACTTGGTGTGTTACAATAATGCCATGTCTTCACAGCTAATATTGATATATATATAATTAATTTGGTTTATATTTTATTTACCATATAAGGTAAATAATTAAACATTGACAGACCTTTTAAAACTAGGTTTTCTTCATTTGTATTTTTTATTAATATCTGTATCTTTTTCTGTCATTCTTCCAAACAGAGACGTCTGCAGGAGTGTTTGAAGGAGCGTGCTGAGCTGCTCCAGGCTCTTGAAGCAGCAGACCAGAACGTGGAGCGGGAGAAAGGCAGGAGAGAGAGAGACAGAAGCTCCTGGGAGCAGAGCCGCAAGGAGCTGGAAAGGAAGATCGGCGAGCTGAAGGAGGAAGTGAGAGAATATATAGAGAAAGTAGAGGAGATGAAGAAGAAGCAGAAGGTAGTGTAAACACTCATTCCATCAGCCTGTGTGGTCAGCCCTGGGTCATGGTTTTGTGTATATTTTGTCTTTACTGTGTTTACTGTGGTGTATATGCTCACACACACTGGCGGAAAGCTAACTGCTAAACGATTTTTAGTGTTACAGTTTAGTTTAAATACCTCACTACCATCACACCTCTCTCTTTTAGGAAGTTGAGGATTTAGGTGAGGCCCTGACAGAGGAGAAGAGAGCCCTGCTAACTCAAAAAGAAGCTAATGAGCAGCGAATCAGAGAGCTAGAAGAGGACATTAAAGTACTGACCCAGAGAGGACTGGAGAGAGAGACTGACCTAGAAAGGTGAGAGGCTTTGTTTTCTACTCTTTGAAGTATCTTTGAATCAATACCCAGCCTAACACATTTGTAACAGATTCGATTCCAATTAATTTGGGTGTATTTCAGTCATAATTAATATTTTGCTTTACATATGAAAGAAATTTCTTCTCTGTTGATGCTGTAAATTATGCAGGGCAGCGGTTGAGACTAATTCAAATTGATAACCTGTGTTTTTGAGGAGGTATTCATTGAAAGAATCAGCTCTAGTGGTCGACCGATATTGTTTTTTTGATGGCCGATGCAGATATCTTAGAGACCGATATAAAGCCGATATTTTTATGTGTATATATATATATATATATATATATACAAATATACTTTATATTTATTTTAATCAATATTTAATAAATCAGAAAACAAATCTTTAAAATAAACATGCTATACTTTAGATGGCAACTTCTTGAATCTGCAATCCTATTACAGCATTTTTCACATATAAAGTAATTGTTTAAATATATATGAATATGTGAATAAAAAGTAAACACTGTAACAGGGCACTCAGTAATCTGGTAATTTCGTACGCACTGGTAATCATATTTTTTCAAATAAAGACAAGGATGCTACAGTAGCAATATGTACAATTTGTTCTGCTGAAAAATCGAGAAGTACCTACCTATTTGCCGAAGAACTTTACTATGACGACACCCTGAATATAATACCGAGTTCAATGACCCAGTTACCTAAATTTAATTACCAAAACTTTATTTTCGTTTTATCGAAACCAAAAAAAAAAAATTAATTTCAGTGCATCACTATTTACTAAAAATAACAGATAAGAGCTAATCAGAGTTATTTGTTTGTGATTCACACTACATTGATTGTGTTGTATGTTTGTTTACAACTAATGTGCTAATCTCTACTTGACTAATCTCCAATACAACTAATGTGCTAATCTCTACTAATCTTTACTTGACTAATCTCCAATGACTTCTCCAACTTCTGATGTGATTTCCTTAAGATTTTCTTCGATTTCATGAATACACACTGAACATAATTTTAAATGACTAAAGGCTGCACACATATTCTATACACTGCATGTTGATGACTTGAGTATTGAATTGTGTTGTTGTTTTAAGCTGTACTTCTGTACTTCATTGTTTAATTTGTACATGTTATAAGAAAGTAGTTCTCCTGTGTTCTCTGGGACACATCAGGACATAATTGTTTCATATATTGTGGCCATATGCATCTTTGACTTCCTCCAAATGTCATTGATGTGATTGAATTATATATACAAGACACATTGGACCCCTTCTAGAGGTTGGTTTAGTGCTGTGAACAAGGTCATATTGTCTCTTTGAGTCACGTGGTTTCATTGGTTCTCCTGTGTGCTGTTTCTGCGTAGGATGAGGGAACGGGCCAAGAAAGCATCAACTCAGAAGAAGGAAGATGAAGATGAACACGAGAACCTGAAGGTTTCTCAGCTAACACTTGTACACAAATAAGCATAAACACAACTACATGGTCATTATTGTGCCATTGTTTTGTGTATTATACTAGTTAAAGATGGAACAGACAGAGAAAGAGCTGCACAGTCTTTCATCAGAGTTTCAGAGTCTGAGAAGTTCACTGGCCCAGAGAGATACACATGCTCTACAGCTCCGAGACACCATCACCACCCTCACACACAAACTCAACAGCGCTCACAGGAAGGAGGTAACACTCCAGCAGTTTTCCCATCCCAGCTTTCACATTGGATATTCGTACACAGGGTGTATTGTCTCAGAACAGATACTTGATGCCATTTATCCATGAAGTTCATGTTATTAATAAGGGGTTTGACTGATTAACATATTCCCTGCTGTTAGATGTTGTAAATGCACCATATGGAGGCAGAAAGCATGTCTTTCTACTTTGATGACCATTCTGGCAAAATATTTTTTTTCGCTCAACATATAAATATATTATGTTATAGTGTACACTACTTTTCAAAGGATTTGGCTTGGTAAGAATTTTCATTTTATTTTTAGCATCACTAAAATTTAGCATATTTTTAGCATCACATGATCCATCAGAAATCATTCTAATATGCTGAATTGGTGCTCAAGAAACATTTTTTATCATCAATCTTGAATCTGCTTAATATTTTTGTTGGAAACCATTAAACATTTTTTTCAGGCTTCTTTGATTAATGGGCTGTTCAAAAGAAAAACATTTATTTGAAATAGAAGTTTTTGTAACAATGTAGTATTTACTGTCACTTTGAATTTAAAGCATTCTTGCTGAATAAAACTATTCTTTTCTTTAAAAAAAAATCTTACTGGCCCCAAACTTTTGAATGGTAGTGTATGTTTTGCAAGTGATTTGATTTTTATTAAATATCAACTGTATACAACTTCCCATCTTCTTCTAATTGGTCACACCACACGTTTTAGTCAGCATGAAATGCTGAGAAAACTGTTAGATGTGGCGCATTTGAACCATGTCTGTATAGTCCAGCAATTAAAAAAAAAATAGAACAGATGGATGCTAGAAGACATGCAAGCCCGCTAACTGCCTCTAGACTGACAACATCTTTTTAGCATGACAGGATTGTATCTTTGTCATTGTTGATCAGGCAGCCAATGAAGTGGCATTGAGTGAACTCCGGAGTGTTCAAGATCGCCTGAATGTGAGTGAACGCTGTGTGGAGACTCTGAGGGGGGAGCTGAGAGACATGGTTGCTCAGAGGGACACCACACACGCCGAGCTCCATCAGGCCCGTCTGCAGGCCGCACAGCTCACACTTCAGCTGGCCGATGCAAGCCTGTCTCTGAGAGAGGGCAGAGCCAACTGGGCACAGGAGAGAGAGACCCTGCAGCAGAACACTGAGGTAGTGTGAGCAAAAATTATTTTTAAAAACACAAAGGCAACTTTAAAACTGTAGTTAATTGAAGTGACTGCATAAACTGTCAGATGGACAAAGTCCGCCTGGAACGCCTTAATGACGAGATCCAGCAAAAGGAGGAGATGTTGCAAGAGGCGAGGATGGAGAGAGAAAAAGCAGTAGTGGAGCTGGGACGAGAGAAAGACTGCAATCGGGTATAACATTTATTTAACACATTTCTTTGAAACAACGACATGTAGCCTTATCTCAACTGTAAAGAGTTTCAAGTTTTTCAAGTAAGTTTTTCTTGTTGTCAATATTTTTAGTGCCATCTGTTTCAGTGTTTGTTAACAGCACACGTTGTAGGAGTTAACATGGTCAATATCACATATTTGCTTACATTTGATTAGTGACCTAGAACAAGGCCATTTACAGATTTATATAATGTAAATTAAGGTATGAATTACATTTGCTATTTAATGTGAATCTAAATATTTAAAGACATGTACTTGATAGTACTCTTGTGTTTTCAGGTTCAGTTAAGCGAGACTCGTCGTGAGCTGCAGGAGCTGAAGGCCAGTCTCAGAGTGGCTCAGAAAGAGAAGGAGCAGCTGCAGACAGAAATACAGGCACGATCTCTGCTGTTCTCACAAAACTCACCGTGCTATCATATTCTCTTTAAAGTCTGGTTCTCACAGGTCAACCAAAAAGTTTAAAAAGTTTTCTCAGTCTCAGTGAAGTTGTCTTCAATTTATCAGTAAACAACCCTCTCATTCACATGAGCCTGAAGGCATAACAGAAACATGCTGTTGTACCAGTCCTAACCACCAGATGCAATCTGTCTCTCAAGAGAATGTTTTGCTCTCTGTGTGTCTGACAGCGTTTAGCTCCTGGTTTAAAGCAATATTCCACATTGTAAATACACTTAGATTGGAAACCGAGCAGGGGGAGTGGGCAGATGGATTTAAACACAGAAATCTGAAGCTTGTATTTTTGGTAGCCTTTGCATGAATTCTTAAGTAAATAAATCTTATGTGAGCTATAAACTTTAAATGATCCTTTCTAGGTTGAGGAACATCTGGTTAGTATGTTACATATGTAATGGCCATGAATGGAGTTTGCAGAACATCAACATAGGCGTGTGGTCATGCATATGCAGTTATGTGGCATTCCTTTATGGTATCCCTGTTGGGGGTACCAAGTGAAAGTAACTTTACATTTTTTGCTAGTCATGATGTAAGGTTAAAATTTGAATAAAACTTTATATAATAAAACTCAGAAGAGTTATATATGTAGGCTAATGTTGTTATGTTTATTCTTCAACATAAATGTGTATCTTGAATGTTTATTTGCTTTGCTCTATTGCTCTATGCTCTATGTTTTCCAACTGGCCGTTCTAGCCTGACACACCAGGGCGACATCAAATAACTAGCAGCAATGAAAGTCAACTGTGTTGTCGCCGACGTGTAAAAACACACAGCAAAAACTAGCCTGACAGATGCTCACTGACGGCTGACTGCTGGCTTGGTGTGTCACAGACCTTATTAGACTGAAAATGACCCAGAATATTTATAATATATTAAGCTACGTTTTTAAACATACAGCAGTTTTACAAAGATTTTAGGTAGGGGTTTAAAATAAATATTAATGTGTATTACTTGAAAAGGTGACCAGTTTTCTCTATAGCTGTGCTAAAATAAGAAAAAAGGAAACTGCAAATAGATGTAACAATGAATTAACAAAAATAACACAACATTGCAAATACAAATCTACGTATACTTAAGATGAGTGCGCTCTTGATTTAGGGACAGGATGACGGACAGTATGGTATTTTAAACATAACAGTGTGACATTCTATACAATGTAAGGTTTGTTAACTGTGTGTGTGTGCAGGAAGTGATGGAGTACAGCCGTCAGCTGGAGAGAAGGCTGGAGGTGCTGAGCGATTCTAAATGGAGTGAGACGGCCCTGCTGCAGAGCAGTGAGTCACTGTGCTTTCTTTAATTCTGTACAAACATCACTACACAACGACACTATTGTGAGTCTGTCTCCTTTCTTTATTGCCCTCTCACAACAATACCACAGAACTCCAGGCGGCAGACAGCCACATCATAAAATGCCACACACCACTGCACAACACTGCGTTATACGGCCCTGCACAATTACAAGACTTCACCACCGTACAACACAGCACACCAACCCCACCTCCCGGAAGCACACAACTCTGCCATACAAAACAACATAATGTAACACTGCTTTATTTTAGACTCATTAACTTTTACCTCAGACCGCTCACACCTGACATATTCTGCACAAAAATGTAACATTTTCCCACAATGGCAATCTACAATCTAATTGGTTTGCATTACACAATTTCTAGTAGTAAAGTCGAACAGGTTTTTAGCCAGTGTGCAACCTTCAAAGTTGTTCAGACTTTATGCCCATAATGAAAAGTCACAACAGCAAGCATTACACAACAGTTTTAGTTTTGCAAATCAAGGAAAATCATACTAAGCAGTAGTGATAAAAAAAAAAAAAAATCAAGATTTGCTTAGTGTCAAAAATGTTATATTTACATTTGCAACAGTTAAAGGGATAGTTCACTTTGAAATTAATTTTTGATATGTTTTAGCTTACCTCAAGGGCATCCAAGATGTAGGTGTCTTTGTTTCTGCAGTAGTTTCAATTTTGATATTTTTAGGTCAAACCGTTCTTGTCTGTCAGTCATATAATGCAGGTCTATAGTCACCACCTCAAAGAGCATGCAGAAAAGTCCAAATTAAACATGATTTAATGACTCGTAAATGTAAGTACACATTGATGGCCTAAGACACGAAACGAGCGGTTTGTGTGAGAAAACGAACGGTATTTATATATCGTTTTTACCTCTTGTAACGCACAGACCGAAGCGCCCGCGCCCTCAGATCACTTGGACGTGGCTGTGTTTACAAGAGGTCAAAACGATATATAAATACTGTTCGTTTTCTCACACAAACCGCTCGTTTCGTGTCTTAGGTCATCAATGTGTACTTACATTTACGAGTCATTAAATCATGTTTAATTTGGACTTCTCTGTGCATGCTCTTTAAGGTGGTGAACATTGACCTGCATTATATGACCGACAGACAAGAACGGTTTGACCTAAAAATATCAAAATTGAAACTTCTGTGGAAACAAAGACACCTACATCTTGGATGCCCTTGAGATAAGCTAAAACATATCAAAAATTAATTTCAAAGTGAACTATCCCTTTAAGCTCTATAACTAATTACAGGCATCTGTTGCATGAATGCAATTCCAACTTAAGCGTGTTTACATATAAAGGTTTGTCATATTGTTTGCTCTCTGTTGAATTAAATCAGAATCACATTTTTAGCTTATTTTGGATGTGTAGCTGACATGAAGAATATGGTAAATTCTACAATATTATTTTTTAAATTTAATGTAAGTTCTCTTACATTCACATAATTATGATATGATCACAATCAAAATAATCACAATATTTTTATTAAAAAATAATTTGGGCAGTCACAGACACTTATTAGGACACTTGTGAAAGCTCATCTGCCGTTCCTGGTTTCAGGTCAAGCAGAAAGCCCACTGCTGTCAGATTCTGAGGATGAGAACCCCGAGGCCTTGCAGGACGCACACTCTTCTGGGCCTCTGAAACACTACAGTCTGTGCGAGCAGCCCCAGGCCGACCTGCTGCTCCCGGCCACCCCGCCACCCTCTCCCAGACACCCCTCCAGCATGAACATGGTGGTCATCAGCCAACCTGCACCCCTCTCATCTCCACACCAGCCCAGTGCTCACACACACACTCACAGCTCTGAGTCGGTGAGGGTTGGTCATTAAGTCATGGCATATCCATCGCATATCCAAATATTATATTTTTGTGGTTACATAAAAAACATTTAGGGAAGAATTGGCTCACTGTTTGTTTGTTTAGCTGTATGTGACCTCACCCTCAAGGCCTCTTCACATCAAATCTGATGTGATAAAAAAACACACAAGAGAAAGTAGCTATAAAATATTTGCTAACAATTTTCACTAAAGCTATTCACAGATGTAAGATGCTGAAAGTTTTTGCATTACTTTACGAGCAACGTTGAGTTCTGGAAAGGTGCTAAAGTATACAATTTATTGTTATTCATTTATTCATTTTTCTGACATCCAAACAATAACCAACTCTCTGGATACAGAAGTTTTCACTGAGTAAAATTAGATTTTCTGAATGCTTTAACCCTCATGGTCAGTTTGGGAAGTGTCTGCTAGGGAAGTGAAGGATTTCAACACCCTTTATAAAAAGGCATTACTTAAAAATTACTGTGCTTGGGGTCTCAAAGACCCTAGATATAAAACATGAATAATGCAATGAATTATCACGTGTACAATTATGGTGTACAAACTCTTGCAAGTTGTTCACTTTGTTTTACTGTATTTTTATTTTATCTTTCTAAAATGCATTTTTGCTAGAACTTTACCAAACAGCGCAATTACAAAATACTTTAGTTTTTAGTTTATAATAGAAATTTTATGATACAGTAGAGGGTTAAAGCTTCAATAATGTCTGTATCCACCTAATTTTGTGATGAGCAGGAACAGCCATTTCTAACCTAAATGTGACTAGCTTCCGGTGTCAGTTAATTTACCTGTCCAAAACAGTCCATACTGCTTTATATGGGTACTTATCATATTTTAATTCATTATCATATTTATAAACACTAGTTTTATTAATAGCGGCAAATGAATCAAAAGTCTTGCACATTCACAGAAAATATCTTACTTCCATGTTGAAAAATAAGGTGGATGCTTATTTTTTGATTAGGTTTGATTAGGAATCTGAATGGGAAAATCATTTCGAAATGAATAATTTTTACATGCACATCAAACAAAGTCTCAACAGAGAATGAGAATCAACCTAGGCTCAGAATAAAATAAAACTTAATAATATTTCAAGCTCAATGTGTTGGAGTTCATAGAGATAACTTGAGCCAGATGCCAAATTTTTGTCAATCTCTGAATGGTTGGCAAGATTTTTTGGCACTGACTAATAAAAAACCCTTAGCTTTCAGGTAAAGAAAAAAAACTTCAGATGATTTCAGATTTATATTTCAAACTCAGTATGAAATAGTTCATAGAGACACACTATGACGTTCTAGAAATCTGGTTGTGCTTGTTCTTCAGACTTGTAGTGAATAGGCCCTTTATTCATGCATATGTGACTACGTGTGTTTTACAGGAGGAGGAGTATGAGGCTGCTTTGTCAGGAGGACACAGCTCTGGAGAGGAGACAGCTCTTCTCCTGCCTGACAACAGAGACGCTACCCTCGGGTACAGCACGCACAAACACACATTCACTGTCTATAAACCCCATCAGTCACACTGTCGTTATCTGTGACCTGCAGACACAGGCTCAGATAGATTTTCACATATACTCTTACACAACCCACATGAGTAAATATGTCACTGTCGCAAAAAACATTCGGCCCTTCTCTCTCCCCAACGCCTCTCTTTATATCTCCCTGTCACAGTCTGTCTCTTTTTCTGTCTTTGCACACTCGCACACGCTAATGCAGGCCTTTATTTATGGTGACAGTCCGAATATGGTGAGGAGATGGAAGTTTTGAATACCACCTCATAAAATTAGTGAGGGAGAAGAGAGTGAGAGAATGGATAGCGGGAGTTCTGTGAGGGGAGGACAAGAGGACAGATAAGTTGACAGGAAGCTGTAGCAATGATTTACTGAGAGGGTAGTCAGCGCTCACCGGCCAATTTTCAGCATCATTAAAACCCTTTCTCCCTCACTTCTCTCCTTCACCCTCTTTCTTTCTCTTCCTAACTCTACACCTCCACCCCCCTCCGTCTGTTTCCCTCTCTATCCATCTCTTTCACCCTCTGCCATCTATAAATGCACCATTTCTTCCCAAACTAACGCTTGTCCTGTTGTGTGTCGTCATGCAGAGATCTGGCAGAGAGTCCCCTGTGGTGAGAAGCAGAACTGCAGGACCGGAGGGCCAGTGCAGCGTGGATGGCTTTGCACTAGTGCAACATGTGTTACGAGTTTTGTATTTAGAAGCATTTGCGCTTTACATTATATTGACATGAGTATTTAAATATGCAATTTGCTTTACACTTTATATGCACTTAGAATATGCATAAGCAATTAGACCTCTCTATGTCGCACGCAGTTTTACGGTAACTTGCACGGACGTGTTTTACACATATCAACTGACAAGCAGAAAGTGTCTGTAACGAGTAGATCAAGGGAAAGGTTGTATTTAAGGCAGAGGAAATAATGTGTGTGTTTCTGTGTGTGTTAGGGTTGTTTATTTCAGTCTTGATTTTCTTGTGTTTTATCTGAGTTCTGTCATAAGGCTTGTATGGATTTAACAATTATCATTAATCTGCATCGGCAATAATGTAAAGCACAATGTCATCAAAATCTTTTCAGATTTTAAATGTAAGATTTAGTTCGGGTGCTCTTCATTTTGTGGGTCTTGTGGTAGAAGTATTTTGAAATTTTGTTTGTTTGAAGAAAGACTGTGTGAAAGTTCACACATACAATGATTATGTGTAATGGGCTACACCAGCGACTGACCCTTCTGTTTAGATGTAAGAGTAAAGAGTGGCACTTTTGATTCCTTTCAGGGAGTTTACTGTCATCCTCGTGTAAAATTCATATGTGCAAGATCTTCTTTGAAGGAAAAATCCACTTGAGCATGGAAACTGGGGGTATTAGGAACAATTAGTTATTATAATGAATTTATTACATTTAATCCCTCAAAATTTATATTTGGTGCTTCATCTTAGTTTCCTGCATTGTATTGAAACACTATTTTACATTAAGGATGAAATTACTATTTGTATGCAAAATGTACTTAAACAGCTTAACTACTTAATGTTCCTCTTTGGGTTGGAGATACATTAGAAAATTTTTACAGTACTGTAAGAAGTTTTTTTTATATTTTAAGGTATGAATTGAACTGCTTTAAATTGTGCCTCACTAAATTCAAGAAATCTCATGTTTAATTCAATTGGATGTGTGATGGCTTCAGGTTGATCATGTGGAGAACATTATTTGGCCATATTTAAATCATGTGGAGAGAACATTATTTGGCCGTCTTTAAACTTTGGTGATGCTCATTACCTGAGGTAAAATTAAATTTTAATTACATTCACAGGGAGAGTATTTTAATGCATATATTTAAAAGTGAAATAATGAAGGGGAATATTATGAAAAGGTATCATACATTAAAATGTTTTTTTCTTTTTCTTTTTAATGTTTGAAACATTTTCCGGTTGAGCTCACTGTACTCACAGAACTTCTGTTTGGTTGATTTGTTCTTGCCGTTTACTGTAGGGTTGAAGTTTAAATAGCACCTATATGTTATTTGCCTTTTATACAACATGTCATAATCTGTATTGACTTTAAAAGTGATGTTACCATTACACCTCACTGAAACAGCAGTCACTTTGTATTCATCATCCTACTGTATTTGTATTGTGCACTGGTCACTGTACTCTAGAGACTCTTAGTGTATCTGAGATTGAAAACAGTTGTCATTTTCATGATACACTTCACCTGAAATGTAACCTAAAAGCTTAGTTTGATCACCCAGTAGACACAAAAACCTTTGACAGCAAAATTTGTTATTCCTGCTAGCCACTATACAACGACCGTAAACCTGTTTATGGCAGGGAATATGTTAAGATTAGTCCTAAGTAATGGTTGTACACTTTCATGAGTTTCAGTAATGTTAAAGAGACATTGTCTTTCAGAACACAAGTCATTTCAGGGCAATACAATCAGAGAATTTGATTTATTGTTTGCATTTTATGTAGTTATTTCCTACTTTATCACTTATCTAACTTGTTTTTAGGTTATGTCGTTCTGTTCAGGATGTGGGATGGGTTTCATTAAAAAAAAATCATTAATGTAATGTTTGTTGTATGTCCATGTCCTCTACTCAACACTTCACAATAAGGTTAATTCGTTAAACATTATTTGCATCAGGTAACAAACTAAAAATGTTTTACAGCATTTATTACTGTAGGTTAATATTAATTTATAAATACACTATTGTTCATTGGTAATTCATGACATGTTTGTTCACTATACATTACCTAATTTATACAACTTGTTGAAATGGTAAAATGTATTGGTATATGCAGAAATTAACATTAACCTAGATCAGGGACACAGTTTATCTGTACCATTTTGGATGATATTGGAGTTATTTATTTATTTATCTGTGTTGGATATTTACTTGTTCATGCTCATTTCCCCAATTTTTACATTTATATACCTTTGCTGTCATCTAATGCTCACATAAAGTACATTTGTAAAAACTATTTTAAATGTAACTTTTAGCATTAAAAAAATAATAACAATTTTTCATACATTGCAGTGTTGCAATGCTGAAATTCACTTGTAGCATTTGAAACTGTTGACTTGATTTATTTATTAATTTTTATAGGCAAAATAGTATAGAATTTTAATATTCTATACTATTCTATACTACCACGGGGTGGTGATGGCGCAGTGGATAAGACACATGCCTTTGGTGTGAGAGACCCGGGTTCGAATCCACTGTGAGACACCAATGTGTCCCTGAGCAAGACACTTAACCCCTAGTTGCTCCAGAGGCGTGCGACCTCTGACATATATAGCAATTGTAAGTCGCTTTGGATAAAAGCGTCAGCTAAATGAATAAATGTAAATGTAAATGTAAATGTAATATCTGCCAGTTATCGGTTATCAACCATAACATGAAAATAATTATTGGCTTATTGGTAATTGGTAGGGGTGGAACGGTACATGTATTCGTATTGAACCGAAACGGTACGGGCGTCACGGTTCGGTGCACGAATTTGCACGCAGAATACACGGTACAAATAAAATAAAAAAACCTCTTAAATAGCGATAAATTTCGCTCTATTCGCTTTTGGTGTGACTGTTAACGCAGCAATGAACAGGCTGCGATCAAGATTGCAATGCAGGAGTGTGTGTGTCTGTGTGCGCGCGAGAGAGAGAGAGAGGCGCGATGAACAGTGTGTGTGTGTGTGCGAGAGAGAGAGAGGCGCGATCGAACAGTGTGTGTGTGTGTGCGCGCGCGTGCGAGAGAGAGAGAGGCGCGGGCGCGAATCGCGCGATGAACAGTGTGTGTGTGTGTGTGTGTGTGTGTGTGTGCGCGCGCGCGAGAGAGAGAGGCGCGGGCGCGAATCGCGCGATGAACAGTGTGTGTGTGTGTGTGTGCGCGCGCGTGCGAGAGAGAGAGAGAGGCGCGGGCGCGAATCGCGCGATGAACAGTGTGTGTGTGTGTGTGTGTGTGAGAGAGAGAGGCACGGGCGATCGAACAGTGGAAACGTAAAAACATACTCCGTCATTTTTTTCATACAGGACATCATTAAAACTGCAAATTGTTTACTTATATTTGTGTACACTGGCAATAAAACACAACATTGTGCTTTTGTCAGACTCTAAACTCTTGTCAAACTGTAACCTACAACTGTTAACAAAAGTTTTTATGGTAGTATTATTTTATACGGAAATCAATTATTTATAATTCAGATGAGAATAAAGTTAGTTAATTAAAATGAAGGAAAACAAATATCTTGATCTGAAATAGCAAATTAATTTTAAATTCATTCAGGTACAATTACCAAACATATCTCAAGGTCTTTTCGTCTTTTTAATAATTTAATTAATAAACTAATTATATAAAACTACTGTCAGTGCACTACAAATAAACTGGTTCTATGCCTTTATTAATAAAACTTATTTAAAAAAATACAAGGTTTAAGACATTTATAAAAATGCCTTCTGCATTTTTGTTTTGCTTTTCACTCCATTGTACCGAAATCGTACCGAACCGTGATGTCTGAACCGAGGTATGAACCGAACCGTGACTTCTGTGTACCGTTCCACCCCTAGTAATTGGCTAGAACTGTAATATCACTGCATCCCTAACCAAGATGAATAGATGCTGCAGACGTGATGTTCATTGTTAATTCACAATAACAAACGCATTAACTGAGGTTCATAAATTAACAAAACATTATTGTAACAATTACAGTTAAAATTTTAAAGTGTTTTATTTTTAATGGAATTTTTTTAATCAAATTTGTTTTTTAAACTTTGTTTACAACAATGGTAAAATCCATAGCACCGTTTATAAATTATTTAGGTCTATTTTCACTAGGTTAATTTTAGTCACAAAATATAATTTTACTGATACAGCACAAGGTCCTACAGGTACGTTAGATTATGGATGCACTATGCAGGCTTTTGATTTACCTGTAAAGATACTTGTGTAGAATTGGACCATTGCCCCCCTGTTATCCTCTCTTGCTTTTTAACAACTTTTTGCTGACCTTCACCCCATTTTTTCCTCTGTTGCTTTTCCAATGCCACTCCCTCTCTAGCTCTCCCATGTTTTTTTTCTCTTCTCCACACTCACTCCCCTAGCAGCATGACGGGAGATAATTATAAAATCAATGGAGCCGGGCTGCCTGCTTTACGGCTGCCTCTAAAACCTTAACAGGGAAATCACTGTAGGATTGATGACTCCTTCACTCTTTATCTCTTTTAATTAGAAATGTAAAAGATATGAAGAGCCTGAGGCCACAGCACTGCACCCTGGCATTACAACATACTACCTGCTCTCCTTCCCTCCTTCCTTCTCACTCTTTCCTTTTTTCTGACTTTTCATGTCTTTTAGGAAGCCACTGCCTCGGTTTCCTGTAGAGAATGTCTAACATATAATCTCTCCTTCTCCAGAACACCTCCAGCTAGAATCTTTTCTCTAACATTAGAAAGGCAAAAAATATTATGGGTCATTTTGTATTTTATTACGACTTGATTGAGTGGCATTAAACCAGTGTAGACTTTATGATCTCTTGCTGGGCAAGATATTACAGTCGTTCTTTTCTTTTACATCTTTATACATTTTTTGGAGTTGTTTCTTTCTCTTTTTGTTTGAACGCTTTTATTCCTCACTCTCATTCTGAATTTACTTTGTGTTGCCTCTTAAAGGGTTAGTTCACCCAAAAATAAAATTTCTGTCATTAATTACTCACCCTCACGTGGTTTAAAACCAATAAGACCTTTGTTTATCTTCGGTACACAAATTTAGATATTATTGATGAAATCTGAGAGGTTTCTGAACCAGCCATAGGCAGCCACGTTATTAACACTTTCAAGGCCCAGAAAGGTAGTAAAGACACAGCTAAAACAGTCCATGTGACTACAGGGGTACAACCTTAATGTTGAAGCGAAATACAAACAAAAATAATAACTTTATTAATCTTAATATTAAAGGTGCATTGCCCAAGTCTCTGAGTTTTTGCAGAACTATGCCCCCTCTGGCGACAAGCGAAACTGCAACCAGAGGTGTGCACGCTTGCACGAGCACGAGCTGTTCATAACCAAAGGAGCATCAGCCGCACAAATCTTTTGTTTACAGTCATAATGTCTTCAGAGGTAATAAAGTTATAAATCTGCAAGTCATTTTAAATATATGAAAGGAAATGCATTTGAGTAAATTACACACTTATGTGTGAGGGGAAAACGGGGGTAGTAGAAAACTTCGGTTTTTGTTTCCATCTATCTCCATGTTGAACTGTTTTATGTGTTTACTGTATCCACTAATGATTGTATTATGGAAACACGTTCATGAACAATATAAGTTATTACTTTGTAAAAGCTCAAAATAATAATCAGAGGATCCCGTTTGAGCCCTAGAGCAGACCGGAGATCTCTCCATTTGTTGAAAGCCTTCCCGATGTTGACTCTCGTCTTATTCTGACGCCTGTCTGACCGTCACTCCAATTTGGCCCTTTTGGTGGCACTAGACAAAAGTTTTCTTTTCTTTGTCTTACGTGGAGTTTGCGTTGGGGTTTGGAATGAACTACAAGCCGGTCTCTTAGAATCCATCTTCTACTTTTGTCGAAAAGTTGACTAAAGTTTTGTCGCTCGAGTTGTCTTCGCTGATACGGAGAATGGCGGCGAATACACAAACCTGCCAGACATAGCCAGGTGAGCGTGAACGCGCATGGCATCACGCCCAGTCTCAAATTCCGTCCCGAATCCCTCTTATTTATTTTACTGTACAGGATTATAGAGGCAATCGCAGTGATCAGAGAAGGGCTCATTCAGCCCATCAGGCAATTGTTTAAGCATGTATGGGTTAGAAAAACTGGTATTTTTAACATGAAATGTTGCGCAATGCACCTTTAATAATTCTTCATATTTACCTTAATTTGTGTTCCGAAGATGAACGAAGGTCTTAAAGATTGGTTGTCGGTTGCTAAGTATCTAGTTGTAACATGTTACAACTAGATACTTAGCAACCAACAACCAATCCCGTGCCTTATATTCACACGCTTTGGGCAGTCACGGAAACACTGCACGATATAAACAGTCGTTTCTGGATAGAAAAAATGTCAAACGGTGATGGAAAACGTGACAATTGGAGTGAAGGAGAGACCGTTTCATTCCTACCTTTTTAGTTCGAAAAGTTGATATTACAGTCAGCAACAATGTGTAATATGAGGACGCGCAATATTAGAGCCTTTATGTAAACAGGTCACTTGCTGCGTTTGTCCAGTCAGTGTCCGGACGTTAACCCAGGGTTTAGGAATGTACAGTTTGAAACATCAGCTTATGAATACCCAGAATTAATTGTTAACTCCGAGGTAAATTATGAGCAGTATGAAACGTGAAGCAAGATAAAACAGGATTTCATTTACCTGGGGTTTACAATGACCCAGGGTTAACTATTCCAAGTGTGAAAAGCCCTAAAGGAGCAGAGTAAACTAAATATAGATAGACTTAGCGGTGGATCAGTGAGCAGCCACCTAACAACCAGCTAGATGATATTAGCGTCGAGCTAAAAGCTATTCTGAATACCTTAGCAATTGCATAGCAACACCCTCACAACCACCTACTGTGACTGCCTGGATCCTCGAGCTGAGAGAAACAAGAAGATACTGCAAACATAAAACTGATATTGCTCAATGCATGCCATTGATTGTTTTCACAATGCAAAATTAAAAACAAAATAAAATGTTATTTTTCCCAGACACCTTATTATAGCAGCTTTGATGGTTTGATACAAGTCTGTGTTTTTGTCACTATTATAATATATTGAGAGCAATATATAAAGCACACGGTACAATTGTGTAATTGTGACTTTTTCTCAAAATGAATACTACATATTCATTCTCATAATTACTACATTGATTTTGTAGACCAACATAAATTCAGTTTTTATCAGACACTAGTCACATTTGCAAAATATAAAGCTGGAATTATGAGACGGTAAAGCTGTAATTCTTGTATTCAAGCATAAAATGTTGAGATTTAAATTAATTCACAGATTTCAAGTTCCAGTTGTTGTGAAATGTGAAAATGCAATTATTTTTAACACTAGGGTGAATTTTATTGTATAGGGGAGACAAAAGGGGGCAACAATCGACCATAATTCATCCTTGCAAACTCCATGGCAGCAGATTTTGCCAAGGCATGCACAACCCCACAAAAAAATCAGTTCTGTTTATTTATTTAAAGGTTTCATTGATAACCATTTAAATGGCTTTAATCAGAATGAATGGATGAATCTCTCCACATGTGCTTTCTTTGTTGTTTTTGTAATTTGAACAACTGCAGCCTAGACGTTGCTCTCTCCTTTCATTATTGCTCTTTTCTCCTTCATTTAACTCTCATTACTCTCAGCACTATGCACTGAACACCACAGGAAGCAGAGCATGTTTGCCATGGATAGAAAAACATGTCCTGCCTCTTTAAATCCATCACCTCAGCCTATCTGCCTTGTGTTCCCATGGCAACATCTCATTGGGATTGGATATATGGGGTCCTTGTAAACCAGTGTATAATGCATGGGCCTTGTTTTTAATCTTAGCCCTAGTTTATTGATCCTTTTAATGAAACTTAATTATAGTAATCTTTTAATTAAGAGTACCATAGCCCTGTTTACTACAATACCCTTGAGCTATGAATAAATAGATTTGTATATTGTGAGCCCCTTTGTGCTCTTTACAAATAAAGTGGTCAAGTCTGAATCCCTCAAGTACTGTGTCCATGCATTAATTCAAATACATGAATACATCCTTATGGACTTGTGCTTTATGGGTTTTGAGAATATAGAAGCATGCTTAAAAAGGGTGTGGTCATATGTCTATGATCTCCATCATTCAGGTAATCATAGATTCTAATTTTGCTTGGTATTATAATATGAAACACATTATTAAATAAATAAAATTAAATATGCTATCCATAATCACTTATGGCTGGTAAAAAAGACTACATTATTTTCACGGTATTTCAGGCTAATGTAACCAATTAAAAATATTTAACATGTTATATATTTCTTTTTAATTATCACACAATATTCTAAATGGCTAAATTATTTCTTCTTAATGAAACTAAATTTTCACAATAACCTCTGCCCATTCTGTCTCATGTCCAAGTCTTTAATGCGCCTGTATGAGTAATGCAAGGATGTTTCTTTGTCCTCGGATAATTACTGTATGACACATGCAGACAAATGAGGGCACACTGGCAGGATCCATTAGTTTTGGTCTCAGTAGTGTTTGTGTGTGGTTAGCGTTTGATAAATTACAGTTCTCTAGCCAGCAGGGTCATTAGAGCAAATCTGTGGTGCGCGATCGCCCTCTGTTGGATGATTAAACGTAACTGCTTGCGGATTTGGATGTTTCTTTCCTCCCTGTTTCACACACTGTTTCACTGTGAATAATGTCAGCTAAAATTCGCCCATCGTTTACTCACCCTCGTGTCGTTCAAGACGAGTATAATTTTCTGGAAAACACAAAATAAGCTGCTTTCTTTTTTCCTCCGTAGAACAGCGTGACCGGGGCCTGTCAAGTTTGAAAAAGGACATAAAACATATATAATGAATATACTCCACTATATTTCAAATCTTCTAACAATAAGTATAGTTGTGTGAAGTACAGACCAAAATTTTAGTCGTTATTCACATCAAAATCTTCCTTTGGCTGCAGCTTTGTTTCACGATCTTCTTCCCTGCTTTCAAACTTGATGCATGATGACGCGTAGCTGATTGACGTCATTAACGGTTTTCAGACCCGTCAGATAAATGGCTTAATTTAATTTCACCACACATTTTGCTTATATGAAACCAGTTTTGCACTGTGATATTATTTTATATAGCTAATATATGCAAATTGGGAATTGAGAGTAGATTTATCCTATTGATTCGAATCTTTTGAATCAGTTCACACAAGCCTCGTCCAAGGTTTATCCCTGACTGTGCAGTCACTACACGACAGTCAGTTGGCGGCAAGTTGAATTAAAAGTCATTTTAAAACTTTTGTATGTATGTTTAAAAAAGTGTATTTACAGACTAGTAATAGTTTTTAAATATACATTTAAATGTAAGTTTTATGCAAGTAACTCGTTCCAGTCTTTGTGTTTTCACTGTTATACGGTAGGGGTCGCTATTACACAAGAAAAAAGAAGCAGAAACAAGTGATAGCATTATGTAAGCGTAAACAATAAAACAGGTGGATAAGCAGATGCATACATATATATATATATATATATATATATATATATATAAGCTTAACCGTCAACATGAAACAGCATATAAATCTAAACTGCCTGATGTTACCGAATGAAATTTCCACCCAGGATGATCTATGGGACTGTGCAAGCTTTGGGGGTGTTGATGGACTCGATGTAACTCCATCTATCTATGTAGGCCTAGTCTTTGACAAAAAAACCCCGCTATTTTCTCAGCTTTTAGCTCAAAATAGATATTTTTTTTAATTAAACCTACCCACATTCAAGTGTTGATTGAAAAAAAAAAAAAAATTAAGCAAAAGGTCTGTTCTTTCTTTTGAAATAAATGTTCAGGTATTCATAGAACAAAATATTCTGGGGGCCAACTTTTGTGAAAATGTTCAAAAATGCTAGCGGTGGCTGGCAACTTTTTTCAAAAAGGCTGGCGGGGAAATTAAATATAAGTTTGTATTTATTTACACGATTACACATTTTAAATATACATTTAGATAAAAGGATTTTCAATGATTGGATGGACACGCGAACATTAAATTGTAATGTATTCATCATAGTTATACTTTGTAATACAATTGGCATAAATTGAAGCTAATTAAAATCTTTCTATTACACGTAATACAGTTAAAAAATATTTACATTACTTGTAACATTAATGAGAATCACAGGCCCCATAATGTGGATTTTGGGGTCAAATAAATTTTTGAGATTCACGTATGTCAATGGCAGTGAAAGCGCATGCTTGTCAGTAAATGATGACAGAATTTTAATATTTGGCTGAACTATTCTTATAGTGTATACTAGATGAATTAAAGTACTGTAAATGAATGACAAGGAGAGAGCGAAAGAGAGTATCTCAAAAAAAGTTTATTGTGCCTCTTATTGTTTATATGGCTTTTTATATAACAATTTGTTGAACACGAACAAAGGACTGACAATACATTAGCCAAGTTGAGAGAACAAGAAAAATATGACAAAGAGTTAATCTCAACATTCCGCTTGCTATACGTGTGGCTGTGGCGCAACTCTGAAGGAGAAGAGGTCAGTATGACAGCTCACACACTCTCTGACAGCACCAGCGTGATGACATTCATTTAACAATGTACTACACTACAGCTTATTGAGTGCAGCCATCCTCACATTCAACACACAAACACACGCATACACACACACACACACACACAGCTGAGTTCTGGTCATAGTCGTATTGCTTGACTGAGACTGATACCTTTTAATGTTCAGTGGCACACGACCACCAAATTGCATACTGTGTGTTTTTGGCAATAAAATGGACTAAAATATTAGATAAAATTAGAAAAAGAAAAACCCACCAAATCTACTTCTAAGATGAAGATGAAAGTTCTGCAATGACTGTGTAAGATACACAGAATTATATCAGTTCATGGTGACACGGCGGGATTTCTATAACCTAACACATAAATATTGCCTGTTTCTAGGCTGTCGCCAGACAGCAAGCGTTTGGTCCTTACAGAGATGCCCTGAGTCTGAATTTCATGTTCTTTCTTTTTTATAGCAAGAGTTCTGAATATATGTAGTACAACAAGCATGCTTTTCAAGTGTGTGTGTGTGTTTCTGTGTGTGTGTGTTAGTACAGGTATGCATTTCATCATGATACATGAGATTCGGAAAATCGTCCAGATCCATTTGTGTAGCTATCCTGAATTATCGTCTAGGCCGATGAGGTCAAATCCCGCGATGACACGTGCAACATTGTGCTCGCCGTTTTTTAATTTGACTCGAGTGCTGCATAACTTCAGCCTGAGCGCTCTGAGTGAAACCGGTCCAGTATGACATCATGTGCATGATGCGGAGACTTGAAGGTAATGAACATGTGGAAATGGGCTCCCTGACAGGAGTTGAACCCTACAAGCTGCAAACTTTGGCACAGACACACCATTCATTTGGCAGCGAATCATATGACGTAATGAAAGCCGATACGTAATGGCATTCCCCTAAAAACACGGATCATTTGACGGGAGAAACCCAGCCACTGAACTGATTATCAATGACATCTAACGCTGAGCCAAAGTGCCCAAGAACCCAACAAAGCAGCTGGATAAAGACTCAGCAGAGGTCTGCCAGTTATAGCAATCCGATTATCTTTCTGTAGGTCTGCCCAGGAAAGCTATCAAAACAAAACATAACTAGGAAAATAGAATACAGGACAAAAAAAAAATATATGAAGGTATATATAGATATGTATGGGCTTATTCATAAAATGTAAAGAGAACAAACTATCTCAAGGCTGAAAAAGTCAAAATGATATTCGAAAGCATCATCATCAACAACAACAACAACAACAACAGAACAAAGGATAAGCATTTTCAGTTTTCATCCTGTATTTTCTTTTGAAAGAACTTGTTTTGAACCCGTTGAAAGTCAGCTGTTAATGGTATACGTCCATTTGGCTTCTCCTTTTCAAAGCAAACAAACAAGTTTTATAAAAGCGGCAGTCTGAAAAGCCAGTTGTTTTGTCTTTCGCCTTCCCTCTCGTTCTGCGGGAGAGGTCCTGAGAAGAGGTTTTTTTATGTGAGTTTCCTCAAATTGACTCACTAATGTCTCTCATCGTTGACCGAGTGGCCTGAGTTAGGAGTGTCTGTACAGGTAAGGCTCTGCGTTTGCCCTGGAACGAGAAAGCTTCCTCACTGAGCTCTTCCTCCATGGCTCTTTCTGGACACATCCACATTGGGTTCCTGGCCGGCCCAGGCCTCTCCGTCACTGTCTGTGCCCCTCTCCTCCTCCCCATCGTCGTCATCGTCGTCCTCCTCCTCCGGTGAAGGCTCGCTGCCGTTCTCTGTGGCCCAGCTGTCGTCTTCGTTCTCCTGCTCTTTCTTCATAGTGAGCAGGGCGGGTGGAGGAGCGGGTGGTTCGGGCTCTGGTTTCTTCTCTGTGGACTCGGTCTGATCCTCGAAGGCCTCTGGGTTTTCAAGCATCTCTCGGATGAGAGGAGGCATGGGGCCTGGGATCTCCATCTTCAGAGTTATGGCCCTTTCTGCTCCTGTTGTACACAAACAATTCTTGTCAGGGTTGGTGTCATCTACATAATAGTAAGAAATAAGGTAGCGAGTGCAAAATGCAGAGAGTGAAAGCCTATTCAAACTGATTTCCACGCCATTTTTTTGTCGACAATTTTCAATGATTTACTTTGGACCCCATAAGGAGCAAAAAAAGATTTTTTTTTTTGCTCTATGATATTTACATATGCACGACTGTTCAAAAGAAATGAATACATTTATTCATCAAGGATGCATTCAATTGTTTAAAGTGACAGTAAAGACATTTATAATCCTACAAAAGAATTCTATTTCAATTCAATGCTATTTTTAGTTTTTTTACTTTCTATTCAAGGTTCCAGTAAATATTAAGCAGCATATATGTTTTCAACATTGATAATAAGAAATGTTTCTTGAGTGCCAAATCAGAAAAGAATTTGAACGATAGTGTACATATATATTATGTATATTGGATACTATTTTCCTTCCATTGTTCCACTCCATGAGAGTGACAATCTGTTACTTTTTTAGCAGTGTATTTGCCATTAAACCATGAGTATTCTGTCATCTGTGTTGTCAAATGAGTTGTATTTTGCATTGAGGCAAGTCAAATCTTGCATTGAAGCATGTGAATGAGCCTGACCAAGTGCATTTTGCTTTTGTTTAAATATGCAAACTTTTCTCAGAGACTCGTACATATTTGCGTTGCCCTCTGTGTGAACACCATTGGGGTGCAAAACCACTGTCAATACTGTTGGCACTCTTGGTATGAATATGCCGTAAGTTCACTATTTAATTTAAAAAGCAGCCTTTGATTTTCATTAAGATTTATATCTAGTAATGCTATTTTTTGGCTAGTAAACTGACCCTTGGTGCTGATGCCACGTAGATCAGTGATCTTCATCAACATCCGAGGGAACATGTAGGGTTTGTTGGGTCGGCGGCGGCGTGCATAGATCTTCAGAGCCTCCAGCAGGGGCTCCTGCAGACGATCTACACGCTCAGGCTCCTCAAGATCCATTCGGTCTACAGAGAAAGAGGTCAATATCAGTATAGTAGTGCCACCATACATTTTTTAGGTGCTTAAAACCAATTCTGTATTATAATGAGTACACTTTTCCTGTTGCTTCAACTAGATGGCATCAGTGTTGCAACAAAATTGCATTGTGTAATACCTCCACAAATTAGGCAGATGGCGCTGAGGAGGCCAGTTTCTGTATCATCCATCTCAAGGGGCAGAAGCTGACCAGCGAAGGCAAACACCAGGTCAGTGAGCGGGCCGAAGCCAGCATTATGCATCTGAGTCCGGTTGAGGGTCAGTCCATCTGAAAAGGTCATTGTGTCCTGGTCCGGTGTGTATCGTGTACAGATTCGCAGCATCTACAAGATATATATATATTAAGTAAAATATTATGTGAATGTGACATTGTAGATGCATGGTCTGCATCAAGGTGAGTTTCTTTAAGGAGGGCACACATACTAGAATGTCCAAGCAAGCTGATTTAAGGAGGGTGATCTGATCTGCGATGGTGAGGGTGGTGAAGCCTGGAAGGCGTTTGGCAAATTCCACAATTTTAATGATGCACTTGGTTGAAAGCTCACTGAATTTGTCCCATAGGCCCAGGTCCAGCTGAACCCGGTGGTCTGAGCTTGAGTTCTGATAAAAAGAAAATGAGAAGAGGAGGTTAATATATTTATGCATGAATATTTTGATGTCACCATGGAATCAAAACTGACTATTCTTATTTTTTTTATGGAATACTGTAGTACTTTTGATATTGTTTACCATATTGTTTATCATATACTCATTCTCATGTCATTCCAAAACCATTTGACTCATTCTCCCATGGAACACGAGGTGAAAATTTGCAGAATGTACAAAAAAAGGTGAATTTCCAATCTGTTCCTCACACCTTTTTAAAAAAGGTGCTTTAAAATACTTGGAATACAGCACATGAGTTGAATGGCCCACTTTTATGATAGTTGTATGATTCTTTTTTTTCTTTTTTTTTTGGAGCTTGGTGGCCCCGGTGCTTATTTACATGAATTATAATGAAAGACTGTCCCGAAAATCCGTCAGAAAGAATTTCACAGAAAAAGTTTGGAACAACATAAGATTGAGTAAATGACAATTTTTATCTTTTGGGTGCACTGTTCCTTTAAATTATGTTTTCAATAAAAAGAACGTTTATCACACTACATCTGACATGGTCAGTTTACACCGCTATAAATAAATTCCACATTCCATTGCTGACAGATTCGCTCATTTTCAGAAAACACTCACTGTGGTGTATTTTCCCAGCTGGCCGAGAGAAGGGAAGGTCTCTTGATGTGCTTTGCTCACTTTGTTGACCAGCTCCTCCAGTTCCCCACTCAGCTCGTAGCTCTCTGGCGGAACGACCTCATCCTTCACGTCCTTCTTCTTCTTATTTCGATCATTGCGCACAGCTGAAAGTCACAAAGAGAGGCTCCTTAATACTTCTACACTGAGTCAGGTTCACTCACAAACTGCCAAACTATGATCTTTGCACTTGGATGTGCAACCTAGTAAAACTTTACAAAGTGAATTGCCAGAAAAAACATCAGATGATTTAATCGGGTTTAATTCCTTACAATGTCCTAGACCTAGAATGTCTAACCAGGCACACTGCAACACATTGCTTAATATACAATTATGAGGAACAGGATTTTAAACTTGCTAACCAGGTACTGCGCAAAACTAAGTGACCAAAAAATGGTCTGACTCTAATGAAAACATGACCAATGTACATTTCACACCAAAAATAAAATAAAATAAATGCATATTACTTTTTTTATTCTATAAGCTATTGTGCCTTTCATTGATGATTTTTTTAATACTGTACAATGACTATTTTAAATAATGTATTTAAATCATAAATTAACTATAACTAAAACCAACATGACATAGTCTTGGTCAGAATTATTGGTACCCTTGGTAAATAAAAAATAATAATAATAAAAAAAACATCCACAAAATTCTAACCTTTCAAGCACAACAATTGAAAATGAGGGGGGATCTCATTATGAAATAAATGTTTTTCTCTAATACACATTGGCCACAATCAATGGCACCCTTGTATTTAATACTTTTTGCAACCCCCTTTTGCCAAGATAAAATCTCTGAGTTTTCTCCTATAATGCCTGATGAGTTTGGAGAACACCTGACAAGAGATCAGAGACCATTTCTCCATACAGAATCTCTCCAGATCCTTCAAATTCCCAGATCCATGTTGGTGGTTCTTCACTCCAGTTCAGCCCACTCATTTTCTATAGGGTTCAGGTCAGGGACTGGGATGATGGTCATGGCAGAAGCTTCATTTTATGCTCAGTGACACATTTTTGTGTTGATTTTGATGTTTTTATTGGATCATTGTCCAGATGGAAGATCCAACCACAACTCATTATAAGATTTCTATAATCTTATAATGAAGATTCATTATAAGATTCTTATAATGATGATGATTTCTAGAATCATCAGGGTTTTTTTGGGGGGGGGGGGGGGGTTGTCTGTTGGAATTTGATAGAATCCATGATTTCTTGTATCTGAACTAAATGTCCAGGACCTCCAGCAGAAACATTAACGATCCAGCATTATATTTAACCGTGGGTATGGGGTCCCTGTGTGCACCAAACCCATCTGGTGGGTTTGGTGCCAAAAAGGGCTTTTTTTGTTTTGTTTCATCTGACCATAGAATCCAGTCCCCTTTGAAGTTTCTGTCGTGCTTGACAACGGAATATGCTGGAGTTTGTTTTTGGATGAGAGCAGAGGATTTTTCTTGAAACCCTCCAAAACAACTTGTGATTAGGTGCTGTTTGAATTATTTATTTATAATAATAATAATAATTATTATTATTATTTAGGCTTTCTGACCCCAAAATTGAACTATTTTCTGCAATTCTCTATCTGTGATCCTTGGAGAGTCTTTGGCCACTCAAACTTTCCTCCTCACCATGCATTAAGACGATATAGACACACTTCCTCTTCCTCTTTCATAATGCCATAATTCCTCTTTAATCAAATTACTATTTATTGGAGCTTCTTAATTATCGCCCTGATGGTGGAAATGGGAATTTTCAATGCTTTAGCTATTTTCTTACAGTCACTTTATATTTTGCGAAGCTCAACAATTTTTTTGCTGCACATCACAACTATATTCTTTGGATTTACTCAATCCATGGATGATTAAGGGGATTTGGCCTTAGTGTTTCCTCATTTAGATTCCTGTGAAACAGAAAGTCATGGGTGTATAGTGTCATGTTCCTAGTCACCCTGGTGTGCAAAAAAATATTCCCAAAAGTATATGGGAATATACTTCAGAGATATTTTACTCATAAAAAATTCTAGGGGTACCAATAATTGTGGCCATTGTGTATTAAATAATTTTTTTTTATTTCATAATGTGATTTTCTCACACTTTAATTTTTTTTTTACTTCAATGAAAGGTTCAATTTGTGTGAAATTTGTTAATGAAAGATCAAAAGGATAAACAACTCCGATTTATTTTCATCAACTTCTTTGATCATATTTACCAAGCGTGTCAATATGTCTGACCACAGCTGTAAATAACATAAACATAAATACATAATTGCAACAGAAAATGTGATTTCTTGTCATAAAAATGCCACTAAAAATAGGCTCATTTATTTACAAAAAATATACTTTCATTGTATAAAATTTATGTAAAATATAATTTACTTTTTTCCATTGATTTTGAGGTGATGTTCTTGACAGGTTTTGTAAGATTCATCTTGTCACCTGTTAGAACAAACTCAGTTTAACTTAGATAGCATTTATCACTTGGGCCCTGTCCCAAACGGCACACTTCATATGCACTTTCGGTCTTGTGGACTTACAATGGCTGCCGCGTGCGCGTGTCTGTTAAGTCCATGAGACCTCAGGGTGTCTCATTTGTCATTTTAGGTTTCAGAAGGGTTGCGAGCGAGCGATATGCGCCCTCAATGCACACTTTTGCCGAGCCCACACCGATGCGAGCTCCGCAGCAGACTTCTTCCCGATAGTCAAAGCGGCGTTACGTCTCTAAAGTGCGACTCAAAGGAAGACCGCGAGTGCTTAGGGTGCCATTTGGGACAGGGCCTTGTTGTGTTATCGCATCTCTCCAGATTAGGATACCGAATCGTAAACGTAATCACTAATACATGGAAAAATTACCTCAGATCGGACACTGTGGGTGTTTTGGTGAGTTTGACCCAAGGGAGAGCAGCCCTGCCAACCCTAAACCCCCTCCCCTCTTTCTCTCGCAATCCCCCCCCCCCCATTCTTTCCTTCCTCTCCGGATATCCAGTAATAGCAAAAGCACAATGTGATCCCAGCCCCTACACACATCCCATACATATAAACGCACACATACATGTCCCAGTGGACACATAGAGAGCCAATGTGCCACTCTCCTCGTGACATCATCGCCGTGACCCTGGCAAATGAACAAACACATGCCCCAGACTCGCTCTTTCAACCTCAGGCTATTGTCTTTGTTACAACACAAATCTGTTAGTGCCAAGTAATAAAGTGACTAGAGGAAAGGCTACCAAAGAAATCACACCTACCGTGGATGGATTGATGTGGGTGAAATTGCAGACACGAAACCCATTTGTGAAGTGAACATTCATGTTGAGCTCTAACCTCTATGCTAACCAGCTTTATTGGTTTGTGTTTGAACTTTTATTTCTCTTTTGTGTCTTCAAGTGTCTCTCCTGGCAGTTTACAGTCATCTACAGTTTGTTTATGCCAGTGCTCCGGGTCTCAAGTCTCATGACTCTAAATTTGTCTGTGTCTCTCTGGGTTGTATGTCTAGCCTATATAAGTGTGTCCCCGTCTGTCTCCTGTCCCATCTCTATATTTGTGTTTGTGTATGTGGGTCTTGGCCGAAGACCAATAAGCTCACGTGCTTGGCAGAGGCCTGAACACTCACCTTCCTTGGACATGCCAACTTCGAAGCACTTCTGCAGCCGGCAGTACTGGCAACGGTTGCGCGTGACCTTGTTTATCTGGCAGTTCTTGTCACGGTGGCAGGTGTACACCATGTTCTTCTGAATACTGCGACGGAAGAAACCCTACAACAGACATCCAAGAGAGAGAGAGAGTGTTAGTAGGTCAGCTGAAGAGTAGGTCAACCACCTTTCCTCTCCTATCATTTCTCTTATACAAGCTGTCAGTGTATTGTTCAAAGTTGCTGATCCAGAACTGTCTTATGCTAATGAAGTAATATTGCTTTTGTTATATAAATGGTCAAAAATCTGAAAAGTCAAAGTGATGAAACGGCCCTTATACCTAAATAAATAGAATATTGATATTATGCCAAAAATGGATCATTACTTGCTGCAAACAGCTTACCATTGGGTTAAAGAAACTAACTGGGCCTGTTCACACAGAATGTGTTATTGCTTCCGTTAAATTGTTTTTGTATGTAAATATGTGCTTGATGGGTTTTTTCAGTGTTTTGATAAGATGTCGTGTCAAGGTTTTCAACTTTTAACTAAAATAGGTCTTGAGAAACTTTATTGAACACATAATTTTATTACATTTAAAATCAATAAGCTGCTTGAAGCCTTCACCATAGTTGTATTTCACCAGTGGTAATTAGTACAACACATATTGTATCATTTAAACATAGTAAAAATGACTATTGCATTGCCTCTCATTGCTGTTCACATTACTCATATTACATCACATTACATCACAATACTGTTCACATTATGCTGATACTGCACAACTGTATCCTTTTCAAGTGACATTTTGTGTTTTCATAAGCATTTTTGCTCCTTGCACTACAAGTTCCTCAATCAGTCTTAGTTTCTTGCTGTTGACAGGTGCGAAAATACTTTTTTTAGTATTTAAGTATTTTTAATGTTTGAGAGCTGAACCTCCACGCTTCTCTGTATTTTTTACATTTTTGCCAAAAATCAAGACAAAGTGTCTAACAGCCTCATGAAAAACATGAGATTTGCCAGGCCACGGGCGATGGGAGTTCTGCTGTTTACCTTGCAACCCTCGCAAGAACTGACACCATAGTGGTACCCAGAAGACTTGTCCTGACAGACGAAGCAGGGCTTGTAAACACGAGGCGGAGGTGGTGGAGAAGGGGAGCTGGGCACCATCTCCTCCGAACTGGTGCTCTGGGTCTCCACCGCTGAAGAGAGATCAACAGGAGAGAAAAGAAAACATCAGACGCTTCGCTTAATCACATCACTTCACACTATTTACACAACACAGGAGGATTTAATGAGAGGGAGATATTAAACGCCACATGGAGAGAAGAAAAGATTCTCCCGTGAACCTTTTAAACCGTATCCGATTTCAAAGACCCACGAGTGCTTTGAAAACCATCATGATTCCTCGCTAAACCTTTTTCATGATGCCCCCGAGCAGAAACACACAAGGCACTACCCATCACTGCTTTTTAAATCTGTTATTGTATAAGAAGCATCTGCCGACTAGGTAAAAAGTCAAATCTAGTTAACATGTCTGTAGAATTCATCTCCCTCAAGTTCCGCCCCCCAGCCTACCCCGTCCTTAGGGGGTCAGGATTTTAAGGGATTAGGCTGGTGATTGACACTGGAATGAAAAGAAAACACAAACAGTTTAACACTAGCCGACAGATAAGCGGAGCCGATAAGACAGGTTGCTCATCTATGTCACATAGCCTGGGGGAAAAACTCCACCCTGCACTTGGGGTCTTGCACGCGGGACGGACTAGTGTCACACTAATTCTGATGTCAAGCCTTACTGAAAGTCATGACTTTGAGATATCACACCAGATCAAACCCTAAAATACATTTTCCACAACAAGAACAAACTACAGAACAAACTTCTGTAGCACTGCTTTATAGCTGAATCAAATTAGTTTTATAATTGCTTTGAAACAATCTGTATTGTATAAAGTTCGTTATAAATAAAGGTGACTTAACGTGACTTTTTTGTTTGTTTACATTTTCACATGCCCAATAGTTTCTTTTAGTGACCGCTTGGTCAGTCAAAATCCAAACCCCCACCCCTTACTCTTGCCATCTTTTGACACACAAAACCCTATTTTTCTCTTAAATTCCTCAGTGCAGTCCTGCTAGGTTTTAATAGAGGCCCCTGCTCGTAAGCTAGGCCTATAAAGGTGGTCTCATGGCTGGACTGGAGGCCCTAGCCCGGCTGGCGGGGTCTTTATTAAGACTCAGACACCTCGGGCTGCCATTCACACCACCAGCTGTAGCCTGAGCTAGTTAAAAAAAAGGCCCAATCATAAAAATAAAATAAATAAAAACAGGGAGGCTCTAAACTTCTAACTTTTATTGCCCCACCTTCTTCAGCTACCTTCAATGGAAAGCCTAAACTCAACCAACAACCCCTCCCTCTCCGTCCCACCACAGGGTTCAGCAAAAACCACCAGCTTGGCTTTTTACAAGAGTTTGGAGACTTCAAAAGAAGAAAAGGGGGCATAAAAAGAGGAATTTGATAGAAAACAGAAAAAGGGACGAGGGTGGAGGGGGTGAACGAGGAGAGGCGAATAGTCCTATTTAAGGTCGAGCTCACATACAGTAGGGCCTTCTGTTCATGGCCATGGTTACAAACAAATCACTTATTCTTGAGAAATACACAAGCTTTCTGAGTATATGATGTAGTAAAAAAAAAAGAAGCTAATTGCATTTGAACTAGCAATGTGCATGACATTTGCTTATTTTTTACCGCTCAATTTTAAAGTGCGCAAGAGGAATTTTCTCAGAGTAACATCTAGCTTAGTTATTTCATGATTTTGGGAACACTAACTAGTGCATTAATATCACAATGAGTGAAGAACTAACGCAAAAAGGCTATCAAAACACAATAGGTCACATTAACGTTATAATTCCTGTATAAACCCCCAACATGTATGCTATCTCAACACATACGTGTTTTGAATACTAAGTATATGCTTTGAAGTAAATGTTGCACAGCAGGATCAGGCTCTCCCCTGAAACTAGCGTGAACTCGTTTGTTTATATAGCAATACTGGCAATATGCTGGTAATGACAAGCGCCTGAAAAGAACCGCAAACTGCATGTGGCGTGAAGAAACGGCTACTGATTGACACCGTCTGAGTAGCTAGGAATAAAAAAAGAATGGGAGGGGGATCAAAATCCATCAGGATCTCTCAACAACCCGAGACGGTTCCTGCCGTAAAAAACCCCGGTCGCTTTCCCTCCCTCTAACACCTCTTCCCAAATATCAGTCAACACTTCTCCCGGGGTGCACAATGGGATGGGTTCTTGTGTCAGCCCGGAGGCCCTCTCTGCTAAGCTCTCCTCTGTTAGGGAAACAAAGCGCTCTGAAATGAGAGGCCTCCTTATCAGCTCTCCAGCCAGGGACTTGATTTGCATCACAATGCGAAGGCAGAGGGAGGATGGCTGCTGATGGAGGGACAGGTAGAGGCCGACTGCAGTTATCAGTAGATGCTGCTCATTTCCTGCCTGGTATTGTGTTTCTGTCCTGAACTGGTCTTTCTGTATCCTCTGTACATAGGTATTCCAGGTGGACCTTCCTATGCTAATCCCAGTGTCAACCTAGACAAAGTGCCCCTGTGGTAGGAAAACAGCCATATCTACAAGCAGACACACACACACACACAATATATGCCGAACACACACACACACACACACACACACACGATGATCCTATGCTGGCAAAATATGTACACATACACAAAACAGGGGTGTCAAAAGCATTTAAATATTTATATAAATAAATATTTATTTGTATTACTAAAAGTATAATTTATTTCATATTTTTAAAATTTACTTTTACATTTAAAATATTTAGTAAATAATAATAAGCAAATAATATAAATAATAAAATATTTAATATTTATTAAAAAAAAAACGTTTAACTGTTCAATTAACAAAATAAAATGAAAAATATTAAGAAAAATATTATCAATAACATCTATATTTAGGTACACTGAAAAAAATCAGAAATTGCCAGTCAACTTCACAAACAATTACAAAAGAAACAGCAAATAACACTAAATTAAATGTGAAATTTTGAAGTAGAAAAACTTGCAACTTCAAACTTGGTTACACTTTATTGGTTAAGGTGACAGTTACATTGTACTAACTCAAATAGGTACTGAGTAATATTAATTAAGTACATGTACTTACTATGGAGTTACGGTTAGGGTTAGGGTTTGGTTTAGGGTTAGTTACATGTAATTCTGCATAATTTACTGTTATCACTATAGTAAGTAATGTACATGTATAACGTGTAATTAAGTCACCTGAAAAAAATCTTTTTTTACAGGTTAAGATCTAGTGGGTAAGGGTCAATAATATCCACAATGCCGTGCAGATGCACATGCATACAAACTATAAACATTTCATTTTTTGCCGAAAAGAGTAGTCTTGGTTCAAACCCATTTCATAAAAAAATGAGTTTGGTAACAATAAACAACTTGGGTTGGCCTCATGGGTAACAGGAAGCGAGCTGTGACTTTGAGTTTCTTTATTTTGGTTCAGTCTAGAAGTCTAACAATCACAAGTATAGAAAAAGCACAAAATAACAAGTGTCAGCTTCATGTGTTTTAAGTGTTGCAACACTACTTTTAGCTGAGCCACATATGACGCATTGGCTGCGGAACAACTATTCTTTCACAATAGAAGAGCAGATTTTGTGTACGTGACTGAGGGTGTGATTGAATCTTCAGTGGAGCACTGTTCCCAAATCTAGTCTTGGCATGTGAGCATGTGTGTGTTCAGTTCTGCATGGGCGCCCGTCCAACGAGTGTCTCTAAAGACTCCCATTTGATTTGCAAATATAGTTCTCTGCGTCTCAATTCCTCTTAAGTATTTCAGCGTGTTGGGCGTGTATTTGCGTGTCGCTCGCTTTGCATTTCTCAGAACATAATCCTGCTTCCCTCCACTGAAAACTCCATGATTTTGCTTCGCCTCAAATTACAACCCCATACCGCAGAGTTGGGTGGACAGACTGCTTTGTTGTGCGTGTAGCCAGTGCGGCAGACGGGCCACAGATTGGCCAGGTTTTTTGGAGCGGTGTGATTGATAGACTGACTGGCAGGGCCCCCTCTCTGCGAGCGGTGCCTGATGGGCAAGGACACACAGTCCTCCTGGCTGCCAACTTCCTGATGAGGGGAACCGACCATGGCTCTTTCTCTGCTTCTGTGTCTCATTGCCCACGGCTTCCTGCCATCACCCAGATCCTCCTCACATGCTGTTGTCATCGTACCTCCTTATACTACACAACCCCATTTCCTTCCTCTCCACCGCATCACTGTTTCTTTCCGCTGGATGTATTCTCACTGATTGCAGGCTTTATCTTATCGCAAGCTGTTTTTCGACATTTCTAAATTCACATATTGCAGTGAGAGAATTTTTTTGATGTATTGAGAGAAACAGCCATTTTTGCCATTTATTTGGCAAATTGACTTTAAGAGCCAAAAAATAAATAATAATAATTCAATGCTAATGCTAATGGCTAATGGAATATGTTTTTGAACACAAGAAAACTAAACTTAAATTTAAAATTTTTTACAAATTAAATAAAACATTTGAAGTGCTCAGAGGAACAATCGTTCAAACTAAGATTTGAACAGTTTCCAGATAATATTTTGTCAATTACTTGGTAAATGGCAAAATGATCAATTTACTAACTAAACTAAACATTTTTTTTAAATGCTACTGAAAAATAATAACGATTTTGAATGCAAAAAAACTCTCAGTAATCAATAAAAACAATTGGTTGATGCCAATAAGCTGACAATTATTTTCATGTAAAGACAAAAAAAAAATTTGCTAATTGCACCAAATAACACCAAAAAATCCATACACCCTCTAATCGACAAAATAAGAAATAAAATTTACTTAAAATTACTTAGGGAGGCCAGTTTAAAATAATTTAGTCTCTGCACAGATGCGGTACAACATATGTGTTAGTTATTGAGCTGAGAGGTGTGTGTGTGTGTGTGTGCTTTTATTAAAGGTGCTGAGCAGTAGCAGTTGCAACAGCTGTCTGTGAGCTCATTACCTGATCTCCCCCTCCTCTCCTCCCCTTTTTCTACTTTTTTTACCTCTATCCTTCCCTCTCATGTGCTTCATCCCAGGCCTGTAAAAAAGGAGGAGTCCTTCCTGTTGCAGTAAGGCCCTTTCTGAAAGG